ACAATGCCATACCTGAAAACTAATTACAATGACTGGAATATAGCATGCCCTTAGCCAATAGCAGCTAATAGTATGCAACATATATTCAACATAGCAAATCATAAAATTGTCAAAATGAAGTAATCATAGAGCAAGACCACTTTGTTGATTAGTTATTCAATGTTGAATGATATTGCTTAAGCATCAAGTTTAAAATTTTTGGCTTAAGTATTCACACATTTGATGAAATAAAGACATCATTTTCAAAGGAATCTTGAAATTATTTATATTGAATAGTAATAGATCAACAGTAAAATGTGCATGTTAGTAGAAAATAAAAGTTATCTTATTGCAAACATCTGGAGAAACCTCTAGATGGAGATAGTACATGCAGGAGTCAAGTGTTTTTAGACTGTCTCATAAGGCCAGGAGCATAATTGAGGTGGCAGTATAGTAGAGGGGTGGTTTATTTTCCCCAAATGGTATCTTTCAATAGTATTTTAAAAGGTAACATATTGACATTGTGATTGTAAGCCCATAATGAAAAAGAATTAGAAAAAGTGATGTGAAAGTATGGCCCTAAAATATATAGACAGGGAGCTAGATCAAAGTAGCTCTTATATCTTATATTCCACCATCCAATGGGAGTATTTTCTCCTGAACCCCATACACAAGTCCTGCCCCAGACCTTCTCCCTTCATGTTAGATCCAAGCTCTGTCTTTGTTTATGGTTGAAGGAAATGACTCTTATCTTTGCTCTATTTTTGGATGTTCTTTAATAAATGTATACTTCCAATTTCATACATCTAATCGTGTTAGGAATCTTTATTATTTTCAGTGATTCTGAGACAATGAGAAAGACAAACATATCATTTGTGGATATGGTATCATTGGGCTGGCAAGCCTGCTCCTTTGGAATGGGCATTGGTGGCTTTTGACATGGAAAATTATATTGTCAGAAAGTATATTTACTATTTTCACTGGTATATAATAAATTGCTTGTAGAAAAAGTTCATGATGCTTTGCGTTTTTAGAACTGGGTTCATTCGAAGTTGTCAGCTTTTTCATTTGTACTCATCTTTATTTCATAGTCTTCACCAATTCTGTTATCACTCAGATATAGTGACATCAAAGAATCTTCAGGTGACTTTTAAAAAGAAACTTGTTAGGTATGTTCATAGCATCAATAGTAGAGGGTGTTCTGGATGTAAGGTTTCTTTTTAATAATATATTTTTTATTCAGTAAGATTCAAAACCTTTCAATTTTATGTGTATATGTATGTTTCAAAAATGGAAGTTCGTAAAGTGATATGATAGAATGAGACAGCCAGTGATTCCTGACTACAGGTAGTTCCTCTTTCTCATCTTGCATCATGTCTTCACCACTATGAAAATGAGCTTCAATAAGGTCATTAGTAGTGGACTCAAAAGTCAAGAGGCTTCTTTCTAAGTGTTTATACTATCAGACTTTTACTTGCAATTTGAATCTGCTCATGCCTGCCTTTCCTTTTCCCCATTTTTCTTTGTTTCTATAATATTATTTTCCTTCTAATAGCTTCCTTTGTCTCTACCTAGCTCGGTTCCTCTCCTGCTTGTCCTCAAAGCATTAGCATTAGATATTGTTACCTGCCTTCTTCTGTATCACCATGTTCTACAATATTGTCTGTTCATACTACTAAATCAACATTACCATCCCACATATTTCTCCAGACATTCAGATCCATGTTGTCAACTTTCTTTAGATAATATCTCTGGAATGGCTTGCAGGCACCTTAACCTCCAATTTTCCTCTGAGATTTAATTACATTTTCCAGCTAACTTGTTACTTTCGTATTCCCTGCAGATGCTAGAAAACTCATTAATTCAACTTTTCATATTACTGCTTAGCCAAAAAATCGTCCAGTTGAGTTAATCCTACCTCTGAAATATTTCATATCCATTTTTTCTTTCTCTTTTTCTTTTCCATTGCCTTGGTTAAGCATCATTTTACTTTCTCAAATGAAATATCACAATTAGTTATGCAATGAATCATTCTACCAGTCATTCTTCCTTCAAGCTCTCTCCCTTCAATGTCTAATCAGTGATTCTTCTAGAACCAGAATGACCTATTTAAAATCAAAACAGAACAAAATTTAATGCTTCCCTATAAGATTGCCTATAAGATTAAGCTTCCATGCCTTAGTAGGAATATCATGATATGACCCTAGCCCACCTTCTTCATGTTCTACCCACTTCTTACCATTTCTCCTTTTCCTTCCTATCAATGCTCCCTAAGGCTCAGCAGTAAGGAGCTATTTTCTATCCTTACATTTAACGTGTCCCTTCTCAGATCTTTGCTTTTATATTGTCTGTTCCTTATATTTAGAAGATCTCTTTTGGCTTATTTTCTCTCTTTTGTTTATCTTTTATCTCCAAGATCTAAGGATTATTTCTACTGTTAACATCTTCTTTATGTTTTAACTTTGATTTTGACTACTAGAATGTTGTACACATCATACTGTTAACTTGCTTAACTGATTTCCCCGTTAGACTGTGAACTTCTTAAGGGCAAGGACCATGTTTCATTTATCTTTGTATTCTTATTATTTAACTCAATATTAGCAGAGTCTCACTATATAGTTATTGAACTAATTAAGCAAAATAAATCAGGGTTGCTTATGCTTAACAGGTCTGGGAACTTTCCTAAGGACCCTTCCTGGTTTTTCATGATTGAAAATCTCTTTTAGACATTACCCCACTTCTGTCCTAACCCAAATGAAAGGGAATGGAAAGGAAGGGAAGGGAAGGAAGTGAGAATAAGAATATTCAAGACTGTTGTTGACAGGTACATTGGAAACTTCTTTGATTCTGTACTCAAACTGAGATGTTGCTTAACAATCACCACCACTGGAAGGCTTTCATATTATAAATAAATTCATTGCATTTGGAAGCTGAGCAGTCTAATGGCTGAACTTATGTTAATTTTTTGTTAACTTCAGTTTTACTACCTACCCAACCTGCCATATTTTTAAAATTGTAATGGCAGAGCTGTCAAAATTATATGCTTTCTTTTTTAATTGTTTGCCTAAAATTTTTGGTTATGTAAAAGGGAGATTTTCTTTTAAAAATATTATTTGCTCTTATATCCTATTATTATTCATTTACATAAAATGTGCAGTGAGATGCAAAGGTTACAATATTTTAGGATGTAAATAGTAATAATAATGTTGAACAATCACCGTGGCCAGATACTGCTCTTGGTGCTTTAAATGGAGTGTTCTGTTTAATTCACACAGCAGCTCTATGAAAGAGGTGGGCATTATTCTGTTTTCTAGAAGAGAAAAACATAAGTATGTACAAGTTGAGCAACTTCTCTACATCATACAGCTGTTACAGATCTCAGCCTGGATTGGGAGTCAGGACATCTGACTTCAGAACTCACACTCATAATCACTACAGCTATGGAGCATATAATTTAGAACTAAATTTCTGTTCTATCTGAAATTCAGAAGTTTGTCTGCCTGTCAGTTTTAGCATCTTTTTTTATAGATTCTTCTTTAAAATCTTATCTCCCACATCCACAATTTTTTTCCTCTTCTTTTCTTTCACTTCTTATATGCCATTGCTGGATTGCAGTCTAATTCCCTTTAACTTCCGTTTTTGGGACAATTTCATTACTGCTTCATGAGCCAGTGCACCATGGATTTGTCTCATTACAGTGCCTCTCCTAATCAACTGTGTTGATGCTGAGATGCAAGTACCAAACCAATACTAAAGACATGCCTGGTTTTTTTTTTTTTTTTTTGGTCATCCAAAGAATGGGAAAATAGTTATGTAACTCCAGGTAAAAATGAGAAAATAGGATATGCAATTGTTTCTTTTATTTCTTATACCCTACACATAAATATAGCTGTGTTAAAGACAACATTTCTATAATCAGGCAAGTTGAGATTTGGATGTTTGATTAACCAATTAGATTTCATTGAGACAAAATAAAACAAATACACAAAAAATAAACTCCAATCTAACAGATATGTACTGCCCTTATAAATTAATGTTTGTTTTATAGAAAAAGTGTATTTTGAAATGCACTTCCTTCAGTGAATTGGAAGGAGAATTGTAGTTGTTTTTGTTTTGTAAATTATAATGATATAATATTAACTTTGGAACTACTAAGGATTATACTTTTCATATTAGAGTAAAATTTTTTCCAAAAAGGACTGATTTTATTATCAGGCAAAGAGGATAAGTAGGGAATTTATGCTTTTCCCTTAAGAAAACTCATACATTTCTATGTATCATCCTCCTCCCCACAGGATATTTCCTTCTCAGTTTCATCCCTTTAAGACTTAATATTCAGTCCTTATTAAATGACAAATTGAATTTTGATAAGGCAGCCATTTAGCTATTTTTACTCATGTACTGCTTAAGTGTGATCCATTTCTGAAATGTTTTGGCATGAAGGGATTCTGAAAACAGGAAACAGTTTGTGGGTTTCTGGGGAAAAGAGAAAGACCAATTCAAGGGTTGAGAACTGAAGAGGAAGTACCTAGCAATAAAAGAAAGTTGGCAGCAAAGACAACCTTCTTTCATTTCCCAATATTTGCCCCAAGATCAAAAGTGGCCATCTAATGATAGCCATCCTTGCTTCCACATGGGGAGGTTTGTTTGTCTCAGTTGGGTAATATGTTTAAGAGTGTGGAGACTGTGTACATGCAGCTGATCTGTATTTCCCTTAGATGTGATCTCACCCCCACCACAATCCGTCCCTTTTTTCTGAGCCTCATCCCATCCCAATGGTATGATTTTCCATTGTCAGTGTTTGTCTCTCTTCTGTTAACTTCTGTGCACAATGGCCTTCTGGATCTTTTTATAAAGGCATCATTATTACCTTGGGGATCACAGTGGTTGCAACTGAACCCAGGCTAGAAGCTTGAAATAGTGACAGACATTTTGTGTTAGCCTAACCAATATTGCTGTCTTGGTTTTTCAGAGTGTAGTCATGGGACATAATCCATGATAAAAATCTCATTTATTCTCAGATGCCATGAAGTTGTGTGGGACAAAACTTACAGGGGTTTTTAAACTCAGCATTACTGGGAAGAAACCAGCTTCAACTGGTAGTTTTTCCCAGGTAGGAATGGCCTCATACCATTCACATCCTGTCAGTTTGAACTGGGCCAAGATTTAAACTATTTACCAGCTGGTAGTGGAAAGCTCATTGATCCTGAGGCATCTGTGAAAAGGCAAGATTACAAGTTCTAAGTGACTTTGTTCTAGTTTAGATTACCAAGCCCTCTTGAATGTATATGTCCCTGGGGAAACCTATCCTGTACAGATTCGGAATTCTTGGTTATGTGATCAAGAGCAAAGCTACCCTCAAGCCAGACTTCAATATGTACTATTTGGTGGTCTTCCTTCTCTACTTGTCTTCAGATAGCAGCTTGGAATTTATAAAAATATCTAAATTTAACTGAGCCATTTCCATGTGTCAGCCATGCCATGAGGTAGGCACCGTTGTTACCCTCACTTTACAGATGCAGGAACCTAGGTAAAGGGATGTTGAGTGACTTGACCCAGGGCACACAGCTTGAAAGTGGCAGAACTGAACATAGATTCCAGAAAGACTGGCTTTAAAGTTTATGTCCTAGTCCCTAGGGATTGGGATAGTGTCCTTTTAGCACAAGTGACTGAGTAAAAAGTCATTCTCAGGCCAGGGTTGCATCTTAGCAAGAAGCCTCCATTCCTAAGTCTATAGAGAAATTTCCTAGAATGCAGCTCTAATTCAAAGTATACCTGAATTAAAAAGCTCTCCAGAAGTGACCTATTATTTTGAGAACAGTTTGGAAGGAGACTGGAGGGTCCAAATGAGGCTGCTGAGTGGTAGTCAGACTCATGTCTGAGATAAGACTTAGAACTGATTCTGGAGGGGCCTGGTGATAGACGTTTATTGTGAAACTTGGCTCTTTAGCAGACTTAGCCAGTCAGTCCACATCTTAAACGTGTTATCTGTATTGGCTGTTTTGATTTCTGTGGGTCCTTGGCTGTCTTCTCTACCATCTTTGAGCCCTCCATGTTAGGATCAGAAGTCACTGTTTCAACTTTAGGCTGATGAATGCATTGTGGAGTCTCATTTCTTTCTTTTATTTCTTCTACACTAAGACCTAAATAAAGGAGCTGTGGTAAGGACAATGCTTGTATAATTTAACAAGACAGATTTGGATGTTTGATCAGTCAGTTGAGTTAGAGTTCCCTGGTCTAGTTGGTGATTTAAATCTTCTTAAAGAGACAAGACCAGGGTCCCAGGAGAATGATTCTGAATGTAACTCTCACAATCAACTTGAAGTGACCTTTGTGTCATTGACCATGTTGTTTGTTTCTCTAGATTGACAGTTATCTATAAGACATTGTGTATTTGATATTTTCATTTATGTCCCTTTTTCTGGACCACATTTTAATGCCCTGAAGGTAAAAACATTATGTCTTATACAGTATGTTCCATGCTACTAATAGCTGATAATAAACATGATTTCTTTTGAACAGTTAAAATATACTGGAGTCTTCTGGCAAAACTGACTTTTATTTATAAAATTTTTATTTTAAAGTTTTTGGATTATAGTACTAAGAAATAACTAGTTTAATTTCTGTTTGAATTCAGTTTGCCCTACTCATGTTAGATGGTCTTTTGTTTGTCAAAGTCAATATTTTTGTATACTCTTTCAGCCATGTTTAGTGGTTTTTAACCACCTATACTTCCTCTCTCCCATCATTATATAAAAATAGAAGTGGTGTTTTATCATGTCTTGATAAATATTGGCCAGATGCTGAGGATAGTTTAAGTGAAGTATCTCCATTTAATTCTGAGCCTCTGAGAAAGAGCTGTTCTCAGATACAGAGATGTAAACACCATTTTTCTGTTCCATTTGCAGGTCACATGTGCCAATTTAACGAATGGTGGAAAGTCAGAACTTCTAAAATCAGGAAGCAGCAAATCCACACTAAAGCACATATGGACAGAAAGCAGCAAAGACTTGTCTATCAGCCGACTCCTGTCACAGACTTTTCGTGGCAAAGAAAATGATACAGATTTAGACCTGCGATATGACACCCCAGAACCATATTCTGAGCAAGACCTTTGGGACTGGCTGAGGAACTCCACAGACCTGCAAGAGCCTCGGCCCAGGGCCAAACGAAGGCCCATTGTTAAGACGGGCAAGTTTAAGAAAATGTTTGGATGGGGTGATTTTCATTCTAACATCAAAACAGTGAAGTTAAACCTGTTGATAACTGGGAAAATTGTAGATCATGGCAATGGGACATTTAGTGTTTATTTCAGGCATAATTCCACTGGTCAAGGGAATGTATCTGTCAGCTTGGTGCCCCCTACAAAAATAGTGGAATTTGACTTGGCACAACAAACCGTGATTGATGCCAAAGATTCCAAGTCCTTTAACTGTCGCATTGAATATGAAAAGGTTGACAAGGCTACCAAGAACACACTCTGCAACTATGATCCTTCAAAAACCTGTTACCAGGAGCAGACCCAAAGTCATGTATCCTGGCTCTGCTCCAAGCCCTTTAAGGTGATCTGTATTTACATTTCCTTTTATAGTACAGATTATAAACTAGTACAGAAAGTGTGCCCCGACTACAACTACCACAGTGACACACCTTACTTCCCCTCCGGATGAGGATGGACATTGGTGAGACTGAAGCCTGAGGAATTAAAGGTCATATGACAGGGCTGTTACCTCAAAGAAGAAGGTCACATCTGTTGCCTGGAATGTGTCTACACTGCTGCTCTTGTCAACTGGCTGCAAATATGCTAGTGGAAAACAATCTGATGTAATTTCTGCCCAGTCAGCTTCATCTGTCAGCATAGTTGTAAAATCACTACAGGTTTTAAAGGCACACTTGAAGACATACTCTCACACATAGATATACATAAACACACATTCATATACATTTCAGCTTGCATCTGTCATGATTCCTGTCAGGAGGGCTTTTATTATCTGACTCATAATGGTTCGGAATAAACCATCATCAAGCAAAAGGATTAACCAAACAGTGAATGGTTTCTAACACTTGCTGTTATGGAAATCTCTTTTAAAGTCTTGAGTACATGCTAATCAATAATCCCCACTCATGCATTCCTACTGCTTGGAGTAGCTGTACTGGTAAATACTACTGTAGGAGTATATGCTTGTTCAAATGGAAAAAAATGTGTCTTTAGAGCTCAGTATTCTTTATTTTATGAACACAACAAAGTGTAGTAACTCTTTTCCAGCATACAGTAGGCACATTCAAGGTAATATAAGATGGCTCTTTTTTTTTTCTATGGAGGGAGCCTGCTTCAGTAAAGATGAGCAAACATTTGGAATTTACATGTGGGCAGACGTTGGATTACAGCTTTCATCACCAGTCATTGGACTTCCGCAAAGTTGAGACCAACTAGGGCTGCTTAAAACAAGTTCTGATCATTATATAAGAAGGAAAATGCCTGACAGACACCATGTAAGTTATAAGTGTCTGTCTTATCTTTACTACACATATTGTAACAAATTCAATATCCTAGTCTTCATTTGTATGAATGGTTTGTATTGTACATAGTTTAACCAAGTGTTATTTGAGCTGCTTATTAATATTAACTTGTACTTGTCTCTCTGCTTGTTATTGGTTAAAAAAGAAAAAAAAGGATATGAGGAATCCATTTTATCAATGTAGCTGTGACCTCCATTAAAAAGACAAACTTAATGTACAAAGCATTTATTCAGCTCAAGTATTGTTGAAAGCTATACATATACAACATTACAGTCTGTCTGTATTTAGATATTTTATTTCTGGACAAAATGAAATGTACATAAAAATAAAATGCTTAAAGTTGAGTTTCAATATGTGCTTGTGTAAGATGGTGATTTAAGTGGTTCTGACAAGAAGAATGTGCTGGAATACAGTAATGGTTTTGCATCTCATGTCTCTAAATTTGTACAGAACTATCTAAATTGCTATTAGTTGCCCAGTCAAAACAACTTAGGAGTTTCAATCTAAAGTCTGGGAAACAGTTGTGGCATTCAGCTTTGCACACATATTTGGTTTACTGTCATGCTACTTAATTCAAGAATACCAAATATCAATGAATATAAGAGATGACTGAGGTCTCCTAAATTATTATAACAATTTTTTTCTATGTAGAGTCTTTAGTTAGCAGAGGGATTGTGAGGAAGGTAATTTTTTTTCTTTAAAAGAAAACCAAGATAACTGATTCTACTGTTATCACTCAACTCAACTGAGAAAATTACAATAGCAGTGGAAAGGCTTAGATGGTTGATTTACTTATACCAAATGGGATCAATTTATTTATATGCCGTTGTTTATGGACATTAAACTTTCTTTTAAAAAAATTAGTCTATATAATCCCAGAAAAATAAACAGAAGAAGAAATATGTAAGGTAACCTATTATTTAGGTCACAAATGGAGGATTGGGGTATGAAGAATGTCAAAGGTTAACCAAAGAAGCCAAATTAAAACACTAACCCATTTTCATCTTCCCTTCATACTGTATAGGGATAAGTATGTTTTCATATATAAAATAATAGAAGTACTATTGGGAACACAAGACCACAGAGTTCTAAAGTGAGGACTCAGCAACTGATTTGACTAAAGAAAGCCTTCAATTACAAATCAAAGACATATCATTCCATTTAATGTCCATCTCTCAAAATCCTCCAATATATCTCAACAACCATTTCTATCAATGTACTAATTAATTTGCCATGGAATTTAGAAGCTAATGTTAGAACAGACTCTCTCTGGCACAACAGGAATAAATGCATCATGAATTCTAACTCTGGGATAAATTTGCCACAGATAAATCTTGTCATTCTGGGATTTATTTATTAAAATGATCACTTAGGAATTAGTTGTTCTTAGCAAAAAGAAGACTAAATGAAAAAAGGAAATCATTAAAAAATATTTTTAGGATCATATGATTAGTGGACTCTGATTTACATTATGGGGTCTAATCTGTCCTTTTTTAATTCAAAGTTCAAGATGAGATAAAAATACACTTCAGTCTCCACCGATGTGCCCAGCTTTCCATTCATTTCTTGAAATGTTGCTTTTATGTTTTTATAAACATACAGAACATAGCCAATTAACACCCAGTGAATTGAATTATTTTTCTGTGTAGTTTTCCTTTAAAAGAAAAAGAAAATGTAGCAAACTTCCAAGAAGACTTTCACTTTTTAAAAATCTAAACTTTCAGGACTCTTCTGGCCCTGTACACACTTATCCCAAACGGCTACATCATCCATCTGTAATATAGAAAAGTCACAATGATACAGGACTTTGTATCCAATATACTCTTCCTCTTCTAGATAAGGATCATGATGAACATAAAGGTTCTAAGGTTTAGATTATAACTTTATTAGACCAACTAGTTGTTTTAACGGACTGGTTAGTTAAGCTTTACATATGCTAGAAATTTATTTGTTATTTGGAGAAAATAAATTTTAGGTTGCCCTATGATAATCACCTTCTCTAGAATCTTATGAAATATTATTTCATACCTTTGCTAAGTTATAGAAAAAACCTGCAATGTGGAAATAGCACCTGATGCAAACATGGGTTTGTTATTACCTATAATTCTTTTCAGAAGCATTTTAGTAAAATTGAAATTATTACAAAGAAATAATTTTTGAAGCTTCTTGCCTCATGGAAGAAAAATGATACAAGTTACTGGTTTATCTACTTATGATAAAAACGATGCATTGTCATGGTATGGTTTCAATTTGGCATTTTTGAGTCCATGGCTCTTGTTAGAATTTCTCTGCATGAGTAGAGGGGTTTAACTGTTAATAGAATAGTATTAAAGTTCTGGAGGTAATTATTCTGCAAGCAATTGAGATACTTGTTAACTTTAAAACTGTGGACTGGGAATCTTCAGGTTCCTACATTTCAGCAATAAACTGTAAGCCATATTTTTGCACAGAATAGATTAAAAAAATCATGAGAAGCCTGAGAAAGTGTTTGTCTTTTCCCTTTTCCCCACTATTTTTACATGTAAGAAACAGCTAAACCAATATAAACAGCTCTTTGGAAAAGCAATTTGCATCTCCTTCATCAACTTTGAATGCCAAGTTTTATCTTGAAGCAAATTCAAATGGCTGGGTTTATAAGCCTTTGAAAGACTTGGTTTGTGTACCAGTTTCAGATATTTATTGATATTTATTCGATTATCAATAGATTTACCTATTTATATTTATTATATATCTTTATATTTTTATGTAAATAAAATACAAATTAATGATACATTAAAAATACAAAATCTAAAAACTTTAATGTGCATACAGATGATTACTATTTACCTAGTTTATAGGAGAGAAAATTGAGTATCTTAAAGCCAGAATTGAATTCTGAAAAACTGGTTGGCTAAGTAAGGCTTTTCTCAGGAATCCCATGCGTATCAGAGACTGATTTCAGGGAATGGGAGCATAAAGAAAACAATACTTAATTTAAAATTGTGGTGTATCATTTTATTTTATACCTGATACTATCAGAAATATTTTAAGTAAAAAATTTACAACTACTTTTTACTAGGATGTTGAAGAAGAGAATTCTCATGAGAGAATTTAAGTTTCAATTTGTTAGTGTGAGCAAAGTCTAGAGACACAGCCTAAAATTAGGAGGCTACCAGTGCCAAGAAGCTGGATAAATGCTCCAAGTTTGGTCAAAAGCAGTTTAATATTTTTGGTTCTGCATTTATAGGAACATGACTCTTCTCACTGATGGATTGGAAGACTACTCTAAAGGTCCCAGAAGTGATGGATGCAGAAGGTTAGAGACCTTGTTTCAGTGGCTGTAGTGGCCGTTGCAAATGGAGGTGCCTTTAGAATTTCCAGTTGCTGATTCTCCCAAATTCTAACTAGTGACTTGGATATATAGCTAACACTCTGTTCACGTCATCCTCACCTGGCAAGAGATACTTTTCTATTTCCTAATCCTATGTCAGAGTTCCAAAGAGACAACTACAGTATAATTGTTACAATACAATACAATATAATCTCTGGTGGTCAAATTCCTTTACTCAAACACAGAAGTAAACTTGGCTTGAGATTGTGACTATTTAAAGAAATAATCCAAGAAAGTTTTTAGAATGTGTGCCAAATAAGTCCTTTTTAAAAACGAAATATCTGCTATTGTTTCTGTTACTGCCCAAATTACCTTTGTCAATTACCTGAAACTAAATTTTGTTTTATTTTGTTTTTTAAAAATGTTTATGTATTTTGAGAGAGAGAGAACATGAACTGGGAAGGGACAAGAGAGGGAGAGAGAGAATCCTAAGCAGGATCCATGCTGTCAGCCCAGAGCCTGATGCAGGGCTGAATTTCACAAACTATGAGACCATGACCCGAGCTGAAATCAAAAGTGAGACACTTAACTGAGCCACCCAAGTGCCCTGAATCCAATTTTAAAATTAATTTCTTTTTTTGCAGTTTATAAAAGATTTTGGTAGTAAACAATGGTCAAATGATATCACCTAATCATGTTGATAATATTTCATAAACTTTTTAAAAAATTGAAGTATAATTGGCATATGTTATATTAGTTTCAGGTGTATAACAGAAAATTTTATATTTGTATCTATTCCAAAATGATCACTACAATAAATCTAGTTAATATCCATCACCATATATAGTTACAAAAATATTTTTTTGCCATAAAACTTTGAAGACTTATTCTCAGCAACGTCTAATATGAAATACAGTATTACTGACTATAGTCACCATGCTGTACATTATATCCCCATGACTTGTTTATTTTATAACTGCAATTTTATACTTTTTAGACCCCTTTCATCCATTTTGTCTATTCTTTAGCCCTTTCTGGCAACCTTCAGTCTCTTCCTATATTTATAAGCTTGATTTTTGTTGTTTTTGTTTCTGTTTTTTTTTTTATTCTATGTATAAGAAAGATTATTTTGTATTTTTCTTTCTCTGTCTGATTTATTTTACTTAGGATAGTGCCCTCAAGTTCCATTCATGTTGCAAGTGGCAAGATTTCATACTCTTATGGCTGAATAACATTCTATTGCATGTGCACACACACACTGACAATTTCTTCATCCATCCGTTAGTAGACACTTAGAATTCTTCCATATCTTGACTATTATAAATAAATAATGCTGCAGTGAACATGGGGTGCATATATCTTTTTGAGTTAGTGTCTTCATTTTCTTTAAACAGGTACCTAGAAGTGGAGTTACTGGATCATATGGTAGTTCTATTTTTAATTTTTTGAGGGACTTCAATACTGTTTTCCATAGTGACTGCACCAGTTTAGATTCTCAACAAAAGTGTATAAGGGTTATATATTCTCTACATCCCTGCCAACACTTGTTATTATTATTATTATTGCCTTTTTGATAATAGCCATTCTGATAGGTGTGAAGTAATATCTCATTTTGTTTTTGCTTTGTACTTCCCTGATGATTAGTGACATTGAACACCTTTTTATCTGTCTGTTGGTCATTTGTATGTCTTCTTTGGAAAATTTTATCTTTTATTTTTTTGGAAAATTTTCTATTCAGATCTTCTGCCTGTTTTTAATTGGATTTTTTAGTTTGTTAGTTTTGCTGTTGAGTTGTAGGAGTTTTTTTGTATATTTTGGATATTAATCCCTTATCAGATATATGACTTGCAAGTATTTTCTTCTACTTAAATTGCCCTTTCATTCTGTTGATGATTTCTTTTTCAGCACCAAAGCTTTTTAGTTTGATGTAGTCCCACATATTTGTTTTTGCTTTTGATGCCTTTGCTTTTCATGTCAGATCCTAAAAAATCATCATAAGACTA